ATTTTTTTCTTTATGTGCATTTGTGAATTTTGGCCACAAAACATATTATTGCCTCACACTAAACTCATGGACACGAATTTTTCAATAGTCAGAGTACAAATTTACTTTGAGAATAATGACTAAATATTTAAATATGCTATTTCTTTAAAGTTATTATTATTAATATTATTTATTTATTTATTAGTATTTTTATTTTTTTTGAAACTTGTATAATATTTTTAAATTGTATATTGTAATTTATATTAAAATCTAATTTGTGACTACGTAAAAAGTTAACAAAAACGATTGTTTCATTCCAATACAGTTTCTACCATTTCAAAACTAAATGGTAGAAAACATATAATTTATATTTGGATATAAAATATGCATTTTGCGCATTCATTCAGTTCTTGAATTTGTTCTAAAGAATTAAAGTTTAGCTTTCTCAAAAGCGAATTTAATAATATTATGTAATCACAAAATCAATTCTTGTATATTATTTAAAGTTAGAAGTAATTTCTATCTGAGCTCATGTTTCCAAAGTGAATCGTCAGTTGAATTCATCAAAATTTTAAAGCAAACATCACATCATTACTTCGTACAGTTTTGTATTTTAGTATTAAAAGCCTTTTTCTATTTTTGTGCTCATTTCTCAAAATTTTGCTTATTTTACTTAATCCTTTTTTTTCTAAAAGAACTTGTAATAATTTTCTTCTTTTTTTTTCTTTAACATATCTTTAAGTTAAACGATGTTTATTTAAAAAACAGGACTATTACATTTCATGATTTATCTATTCTTCCTTTCATTTTACACTTAAGCTTATCTGTTGTATTTTGAATTAAATTCAACTAAAATTCACAGTTAAAATTTTTACACTTTTTCGTTACATTTTGGTAGGTACTTATTGAGGCATTTTCTTCTTTAAAAATGGTTACAGTCAGAATTGCTGTAGACTATAAATACATTCATGATTCATCATATTCATTATTTAAATAAATAATAATAACATTCTGGGAATAATAAAATGTAAAATTAAGTAAAATATTTTTTATTTAATATCGCTTTAAACTAATATTTATTTTTTAAAACTTGTTTCTTTTAAATTTAATACAGTATGACTTACACAAAAATATTTTGCATAATTTATTGGCTAAAAATATTGAAGGTGATTTTATGAAAGTAAAGGCTTTATTTTGGCGTACTTACGCCCCTAAGTAAATTGAACTTCGCCAGTAAGTAAGGTTACAACAAGTATTCAAAATCCCCCCTGCCCTCCACTTCCCAGAAGTATTGTCCAGATGTGTAAGCGTGGAGGAGGTCAAAGGTCATTATTCATGTCATACTTAGCGCAATTTAGGCTCGTTCTTTCTTTTATACTAACTCTAAAATTTATTTAGAAGTTCATGTTCTCGTTAAGACGTATATTCCGAGTAGAAAGTGGTAAAATATGGAATGTTTCACACCAGAAGAATCTGAGTTTATGAAAATTGCTTATTTGAAAAGAGCACCGAATGATAAACCTTTAGATGAGTATTTTCTTTTTGATATCTACAACGAAGCTATATTTTTGGACTACCCCGATAAACTAAAAGAGCTTCTTGAACTTGCGAATGGAATGAAATTGGACTTTCTACAGTTATTCAAAAATAAGCCGCACATGAATGCTGATCTATCTCACATTTCTTTGATATGCAATCCCGAAAATTACATACTGATTGCTGAATTTGGTGGAATGAACGAATATTACAATCACGTGTGTGGATTATATTTATTTCGGGCATCAGCCGTACTGTTTGAGTAAGTTTCCTTTAGCGTTATGAATTAGTAGGTTATTTTTATTGCAATCTAGTGTTTTTATGTATTTTAATTCTTGATAACTTTTGATATATATATATATACCCAGAAGCACAAAATGCCTAAAACACAGAACAAACGAAGTCCTGCAGAACAATTTGTATCTTAAATAAGTGACAGTGTTTTCCTGCGATAATAATTTATCATTAATTCGTCGTCATTAACAAAATTTTACACTTCAAAAGTGATTGAAAAAGTAGCGAATCAAGAATGTTTGCCTTGGTTTAAAAAATAATGTAGAGTACTTGTGTATGATCCTGCATTTTAATAAATGAAAATATAGTATTTTAACGTAAAGCTGACTATTTTTCGCTGTGAAATGCTTGCAGAACATTTGAAAATATTCTGCTTCTGGGTATATATAAATATATATATATATATATATACATATAATATACATGGTTATGTACATAATAACCAAAAACTGTAGCATTAGACTTGTGACAGTTAATTTGCAAATTAACTGTCACAAGTCTATTGCTACATTTTTTGTCTTAGGGTTTTCAAAAACATTATTTTCCGTTTGTAATTTATTGAGGGTCCCTCAAATTCTGAAATTCTGAACTTCATTACAATGCATTCAAAATTGCATATATATATGAGTCGCTCAGAAGCCAATGCGGTTAAGTCCAAAACACAACAATTGAGAAAATGAATGTTTTTTGATTCATTAGTTTTTAAAATTCCTGGTTTATTAATTTAATTAGAAAAGTGTATAAACTCTTTTTTCGAGGTGTAAACTCTGCAAAAAAACAAGATATGTACAGGATGTGTAAATAAAAACGTAAGTATTTATTGAAATAATGACAGCATCTTAAAAAGTTTAGGACTTATACCTTTTGGCAGTTGAAAAAGACAGGAAATTTATGTCTTCTAGTATAAACGAACTTCGATTTTTCTCAATCATCACTAGATACAGTGACTAATAGAAAATAAACTGTTGGATTATTTCAAAAATTGTTTTTTACTTCAAAACTAGAGTGGCACTTTTCTTTGTTTTAGGAAATGAAAATAAAATAAATAAAAATACCGCATTTTAAAAAAATACTACGAAAAGTACCATACCCCTTTTTTTGGTGAGAAAATACTACCGTAGNTTTTCTTCTTCTTTTTTTTTTGCATTCTTAAATATGTGGGAGTGAAGCAGGAGGGGTTAAGCCCCCTTCATTCACTTCAACATACAACTGGCAGCAAGATTTGATTAATTCTTAAACTATACTTGGAACACCTGTTCAGAGCATCAAATGAAAAGGAAGTCCCAATTGAAGTGCCCACCTATTGTATTCTTATCTTCTGAACTAAAAATTTCATTCTAACAGGTGAAACATTTCTTAAAAATAAGCAGATTCTTTCACGTCAGTACCTCTTTTTCATGCATTCAAGCGAGGACTGAAAGCAACAATATAAGATATATATATTTGACTTCAGTGATGCCTAATTAATTTTATTTTACACCCTCCATTAAACAGCTGATCCAATTTTGAGTTTAAGACGTCTAACCTTCAGTTAAGGCTTTTTGATAAACTGACCCGCATTTGCGTAACATAAGGAAGAAAACCACGAAAACCTTCCACAATTAGTCTGATAGTAAGGGAATTCTAGCCCATACGTCTACAACTGAAGCTATTTTTACGTCAGTACTGTGGTCGGCATGAGCCAGAAACAGAATTTGTATCGATCAGCCATCTTTGGTGTTTGACTCATTGGAAGACGAGAGCTCTATCCCCTGAGCCACCATGGCTCAAGTGTAATTAATTCTGGTAATAAAGTACAACTGGTGCTGAGATTATAAGTGCCTAATGTAGCAGAATAGATAAAGTGGTAACAGGTTATTTTTTTGGTCGGCCGAAGCGGAATAGTACCGAAATATGTAAAAATCAAAGTTTTTATAAAATGTATGTTTACGCTTCATACAATATTTTTTTAAAAAAAGGGTGAAATGAGGCTGAAGCAACCCAATATTGTTTTAAATTAGCACTAATTATATTATTTGTTATTTTAGCATTGATGAAGAAATGAGAGAAGAAATACATGGTGCATTTCTTGATGAGGAGGAAGTCGATATTTCATTCAAGTTGAGATCATACCAACTCTTCTGTCTCTACCTTCACTACAGGTATGGAAAAATTCTTCCCCCTTTCCATTACGAACTTGTTTTTCGAATTCTGTGGAGCTCCATTCCGGACCCCTACATCACCATCGAGGAGTTCACCAGAAGCTTCAACTGGGCGAAACCACAGACCTTTCGGAAAGCCATGAAAGCCTGGGACTGGTACTGCAAATTGGTGAGAGATCCTGACAGTGAGGGGAAATGTCCAAGATCATTGCAGCATCTGTCCAAGTGTATCATTAGACGCCAGTTGAAGGAGTGCTTTCAATTGCCCAAGGGAGTCGAAAAGTTGGACATTCCCAAATGTCTAAAGCAATATTTGCTTTTAAGAGACGTTTCTTGATTGAACTCAAGAACAAAACAAAGATCTCAGAGTAGTTCTTCTGTCGGATCTAAATGTAGAATATAGCAGATCTAATACAGTCATTATTATTATCTTTTATTATTTTATCTGCTTTAAGTGTTCGTTTTTTATAGTTGTAGAAGTTGTGCTCAAAACTGAAGAGATGGTCACATTCACTCTTGTTTTTAGTTTACCACTGAGAGTTGTTTATTTGAATCAGTCCAAAACATTTTTTTAATGTATTTCCTTGCGATATTAATAAGCCTTCTTATCTAATTTCGTAAAAACATAGATTTCACAACCATAAGTTACTAAAGATCTTATAACTCTTTTATAAATTTTGTATTTATTTTCCGTGGTAATGAATTTGATCTAGAATAAATATTTATATGAGTAGTGGCTTTTATTTCTTTTTTAGAGTTCTCGAGTCAGTTTCTTCCGACATATTATTATCGTTGATTATAATGCCAAAGTAAGTGAAACTGGAAACCCTTTCAAATTTGAAGTTATTTAGCGTAGATAAATTTTCATTAAACTGGAAATTTTTTGAAGGAATAGTTTTTTAATTTTTCTTTACGAAACGATGGTTATTTAATTTCCAGAACTGTTTTTACATAATTCTTTTCTTTTTTTTTAGCTTTATAATAAAATTTCAGAAATTGTGGGGATTCTAGTGCCTTAAGTTAATATTGCTAATGATCCTTCTTCTCCCTTGTCATCAAATATAAGATAATGTCTTTAAGGTATTTGCGCAATTTATGGACTTCTCTTAAGTTAAAGTTTAGCGATATTTCAAAGTAATAACTTTTTAAATATGTATTTGGAGAAGATGCGATTTAAATCGTTTCTCCAGTTTAAAGAATATAACGTTTTTTACTATAGAAACCAACTAAATCACAAATAAAAATTCCTGATTAACTGAGTTTCCCTAGTTAGGACAACAAAACAAGTTTTAATAATTGAATTTTGAAGTTCTAAAAAGCTTAATTATCAGAAAATATTCAAGTAATTTTGCTCAGAATGATGTAATATTCAATAGTTGTACAGATCAGAGTGACAATTAAAAAAATTAGACATTGAGGCTTACGTTTGCTTTATGAATTTTTATGTACAGTTTTTTTTAAAATCTTTTTATTTATTCCAATTACTAGAAATGAAAGAGTGAAATATTTATTACAAGAAAGCAATACTATTACCATTCAAAGAAGCGTGTTATTTGAGGAAAAGGTGAGCAAGTTATTCAATTTTAAATGCTCAATTTTTACAAAATTTTACTTTTTAATGGTTTCTAATGAATTGTATAGTGTATTGTTTTACAAATATAATCAATTTTATGATCAATAAACAATTGTAATTTAAACTATTTGTGTTAGTAATATAAAATATAAATGTCATTTAAAATTATATAAAAATAAATCTTTGCTCATGAAAAAAATAATGCAGATAGTATAATATTATTTGGCTTCTTTCGAGAAAAAACCCTGTTTTCGAAGATTGTTCTTATATTCGTTTAATTCGTCAATTTATTAGAATTCTATTTTCCCCTTCTGTTTTTTTTTTCCTACTAAGACATTCATGACTTGCACCCGTTTGGACACTTTCAGAATTTTTTTAAAAAAAAAATTTTGTCCTCGAAACTTGAGAAATTCCAGATTAATTTGTTTTCTTAATTTGGGATTTTTGAAATTTATTTCTTCCAAAACTTCTATTTTTTTTTTTTTTTTATTGTTAAAAATCCTTCCTTTTCACACTCAACTTGTACTCACTGGAGTTAGCAACGGGAAAGGCATACTGTACAGTAGTGTGTTAGATTTTT